TATTATATCGAAATCCAAAACAATTACACCCAGCAGAGAAAAAGAAAACTAACAGAGTCCTATCCAGTCCCCAGAACAATGAAATGGGACCATAAATTCCTTTTTCTAAGTTTCATTTACTTAATATGTATTCATTTAAAAAAAAAAAAAAAGAATAAAAAGAGGAAACAGGGGTCCTATTCAGTCCACGCAACCCTGAAATAGGGCTTAAAAAGCCTTCCATTTTATAAAAAGGAGAAAGGCTAAAAATAATAAAATAAAAAATCACCTAATCACACATTAGTCCTATATCTGTGTCTCCACGGGGACCGCCAATTACGCAGCGGATGGAGCTGAAAAGTGGTGAACAACGCCGGCCTCCGACAGTGCCGCCAGGAACTGTTGCCAGCTCACTGCCTCATCCTCACCAGAAACCACATAATTCTTGTAGTCCAGCGACTCATCATTGTAAATATCCCACCATTTGTTCACCAACATTTTGATGTCTTCCCTGTCCATGTTCTGTTCTGTTCCAGTGAACCTCCACGGCTTGGACCCGGCGGCACAGTAGTGCACCACCTTCACCTTCTCCAGCTCGATGTTCTCGGGGTGCCGCCATAGCATGGCCAAAACCAGATTGTAAATCGGCGGAATTGGCTTGTAAATTTCCCTAAAGAACATATTCAAGAAGTCCTGCTCGGCGAAAGGGGTGGGAGGGGTGATCTTGAGCTTCCTCAAGAGTTCATCATAGACGGAGAGGCTAGGCTCGAAAACGAACATGCCGGCGTTGAAGTAGAGAGGAGGCTTGGGACCCAACTTCGCCGGCCACTGGACCTTGTCCGGACACTGCTGGCAGTATCCGATCTTGTACTGAGGAGTGTGGCTCCATGTCTTCTCACAGAAACAGTCCATCACGGCGTAGAACTTTCCGTTCGGCATGTCAAACAGGTGATCGATGTTCTCAAACACCTGAATATCACCATCCAAGTATACCATCTTACTGTACTCCACAAACTGCAAATTTTCCACGCAACCAACATACCTTAATGTCGAATTACAAAAATCCCCCTCACAAGAACATATATTAATATCAATCGGTCAAAAAATTAATCACTTACGTTCCATATACGAAGCTTGGAGTAATTGATGACATAGTAGGCCATGGCAAACTGGGTCTGGTTCTCCGGCGGGTACACTGGCTCAATTTCCTTGACGATGCATCCTTGCTCCACCAGAATCGTCCGGTGATCCTCAGGAACGTCGGGGAGGATGGCCACCACAAGTGGATACTTGCTCTTGACCTTCCTCAGGCCCTTGGCCAAACCCACCACGCCCTTAACATAGTCACCGTTCCCGGCCAAGAAGGTGACATAAGCCCTCCTAGGAAGACTTGCTGCCTTGACCAGACTGGTGACGGCTGTTTTGGTGGTGGTGATGTTAAGAGCCATATTTTGAGTTGTGTGAAGGGTTGAGAGTGAGTGTTTCTAAGGATTTGGAAGGAAAATGAAAGAAAATGATTTCTTCTTTGAAGAGAAAACTTTGCGTTTTGAGATGATAGGAGTGAAAGGGGATGAGTGGGGTTGTATATATAGGAATTTTGGGGGGTCGTTCCATTAGTACTATTCATAATTTTTTCCTTAGTAAAAGTGAAGTCCACATGCCGCAAAATCTTGGATCCTCGGAAGGGATACGTTTTGATCGGACGGTTGCAGAGTGAATTCAGGAATTGGGCGGTGCATGAAAGTTGCAAGAAATTTCGTTTTACTCATTTATTATTTTATAGAATGGAATTAGAATAAAGATCCAACGACTTTAGTTTCTACGTTGCCGAAACTACCATTCAAAAATCTGTAAGAAAGTTATGGTATAGATGTTAATATAAGACACAAGTGTGGGTGTTTTTAGGGATGTCAACGGGGCCCTGCGGAGCCGGAGAGTCCCTCCCCGTCCCTGTCCCCACAAATCATTGGGATAGGGATCCCTGCGGGGATCTCTACGGGGATTTTTTGCGGGAGGCAGATTTTGCCCCCCGTTCCCATTCCCCGCCAATTAATCTCATCAATAACACCACCCAACTCATCTACCAAACAAGAGATCATATTTCAAATAGAAGCATTCATTCATTTTTCGACCAATCAATTCATTTACCAGACACAAACAAAGATATCC